CGACTACGACAACCAGTACGACGAATAGTATATTAAGACTACTAACTGCTAGAACGAGTATACTACTTGGTGGTTCATTTTTGGCTAGGGAACTTGTAAGTATCTTGTAAGTGGTTGGTAACTTAGTTACGAAGGGGTTACAAGTTCTGTAACTAGCACAAGTTTTTATGTTAAGATGTGGCACTTGCAAGTTAGTTAGCAAAAGTTAGAAATTTCTAAGTTCTATATCTAGATTATCAAAAACTAGTCAAAAATAAGTTGTAACTAACTTAGGGAACTTAACTTTTTTGAGATATAAAATTTCAAGTTTTTCTAATTTACACCAAAACTGATCTAATCGTGTTTTTTTCGCACTTTGATTCTTAAACTTGAAATCGAGTTCATGCTCCGATCGCATGTTCATCACGCAGCTCACTGAGCCGTATGCCGTCTTGTCATGGTCATGGCTGACTCATGATGGATGTTGCTCCTGTATAAAAAACATGCGGCTCATTGAGCCGCAGGTTGTGTCTCTTGCGAAAAAATATACATTGAACCGCGTGCCATCTTGAGCAGATGATGGATGTCGCTCTTGTTTCAATAATAGACCTGCGGCTCATTGAGCCGCAGGTCGGGTCTCACGCACTAAGCCATTTGCCTTCATCTTTCGCCATGCCTCATAGGCATCAACCACCATCTCCGCCGTGTAGGTCTCCGGCCGATTGGACAGCAGGATGGTCCCGTCCGCCAGGATGCAAAACCCGCAAGGTGGCCGCATTGCCTCCAGCTGCTCAGCATACGCCATCCTCCTAGGCTGCACAGGCTCCATCTTCAGCAGTACCGGCAGCTGAGGACGCGTCGCATGAGCAGCACACACTTGGAGCCAGCAAACGCCAGCAAACAAAAAGCATTGTTGCACTCAATCAGCAAAGCTCTCAATCAGCAAAACTTAAATCCTGACTCCTGGATTTTTTAAAAAAAGTCAGGGAGTCAGGAAATGTCTAAACTCATGAGGTGGTGGGGTTGGCAACTCTGAGAAATGAATTCTATTTGATAAAAGCTCATCGCATGACAAGCAAAATGCTTAAAATTCAGAAATTGAATTTATACATTTTTATACATTTTTATACATGTATAAATCGATTTCGTTATCAATTTATACATGTATAAATTGAAAATGGGGTGATTTATACATGTATAAATTGATATTTTTTTTGATTTATACATGTATAAATTTAGGTCCGCTTTGATTTATACATTTTTATACATTTTTATACATTTTTATACATTTGTGATTCCGTGATATGTGAAAACAATCGGCTAGTCAAATTTTATGTGTGTGAAAGTTGTTGGTCAGCAACCCGAATATTTAGATATATCAGGTGAAGCTATGGTAGTTCTGTTTTGATTGGTTCAATGGCAAATGAATCAAGGTTTATGTTTGATGCATTGCTTTTCAAGGACTAGTACTTTTGGTACAGGACCCTTTGCATAAGGTCCAGAGTATATGGTATTTTCCACTGGGGCCGCCAGCCAACACATCTGGGCGGCCCAATGGGCCGCCAGCCAACCTAGATCTAGCCCATCAATTGACCAACACATCTGGGCGGGCCGCCAGCCAACCTAGATCTAGCCCATCAATTGACCACCAGCCAACCTATATGTAACCCCTGTATATTTTTCAAACGGTTGAGCTGAATCAAGCTGAAGAAACAATCATTGAACATCAGTTGCCATTGAAGTTCAAAGAGCAAGAGCAGTTTTGGTAGACATGACCAGCCTGTGCGCAGAACATGTTCGGATGAGCGTGGCCAACATCATGGTTGTCATGCCTTGGTTTGAGAAAGATGCAGACTTCCAGCTTGAGGTGTTGAGGGAGTGTTTGCTATGGCTGCGCTTCATGCGGTCTGACACGAAGGCACGTGGATCTGCAAACGAACACTTAGTTTTTCTCACAGCTGCCTGCCCATCTCAAGACGAAAATTTAGGTTTTCTAAATATTTTTTAAAAAAACTTGTCTGAGACTATACTTTTGGTCGCCCAGGAACTTACAGAACTTATAAGTTAGTTACAAGTAATTTATACAACTTACGGTTATAATTAAAAAACTAATAAAACCTAAGTTCCCTAAGTACTACTTACAAGTTGCTTAAGTCCTATAAGTGTCTTAACTAAGTTGCAAGGGCCACAAGTAAAAACGAACCACCAAGTACTCCTTGGATTTCACTTGTACCACCAGACTGCATATCGTGGCGCAAGACGTCGGCAATGTGGAAGACAGTTGCCAGTTGACAAGCGTTATCCCTCAGCGCCTCTTGGCTTCTCTGCCACGGCAAGGCGGACGCTGGGCAGAGAAGAAAAACTGTGCGTACGCAGGCGTCGCACCCCACCCTGGCGATGAGCAGGTAACCTGGCGAGCGCAAACAGCGAGCGACAAAGCAGAACAGAGTGAGCAGAACACTTGGAAACAATGGCGGCCACGCCACGTTAGAAGAAAGACCTGGCAGCCACTCCAGTGGAACGAAAGCACGAGCTACGAGATTGGTGCGCTGTCAGCGCTCATACAAGAAGATACCAGAATCGGCGAGAGGACAAAAGAAAAAGCATAGATTTCTTTTTGAGCGTCAGTATATCTTGCGTCAGACACCGCAGCGTCTTTTGCGCGGGGGCGCGTCCGATTTGGTGGGACGGCCCGTGCGTTTTCTGCTGCTAGGCAATGCGGTCAGAATCACAGGCGGCTGTGGGAAATTCGGAAGGCCGAGACTGCGAAGAAAAGTGGAAGGCTCACATTGTGCATGCATAGCAGCTGCCGGGCAAGAGCATAGAATAGAGGTGGGTCGAACCTTCAAGTACGCGACGTGCTCAAAATGAAATTTGAACGACTGTAAGCACAAGTTTCCATCAGGAGTGAACAGGTCAGGCAAGCTCCGGGCACTCAAAGTAGCTGGGTGGATCAACACTTGCAAGACTTTCAAAGTAAGGGCGCGGTTCAGTGGCGAAACTGCGGCTGCGCTGGCGAAAGCAACCCAGGAACAATCATTGCACTGCTGCAAGACATAGAGGTCGGTAGGGGCCAATTTGGCAAAGTTGGCGGCGCAAGTGCGCCCAGCCCGTGTGAGCGCAGCGCCATTCACCAATTGTGGATCTTGAGTGGGCGGAATAGAGGCCAGCGGGGTGGAAGCTGTCCACGAATACCAATGCTGCCAGTGATCTGTGTACAGCTTTTGCAACACATGAAGCGCATGGCCAATGTTTCCGCGGCCGCCAAGTTGGTTCAATTCCCGTTGCCAGGAAGAGTGGATGGCCTCGGCAGGCTCACTGCCACTACCAGATCCTGGCAGAATACCATCAAACCCAACCCAGAAGCTTAAAGATGATGTCGGGAGAATGGTGGCCTTGGAAGATGGCTGGCATAGGCCGCTCATATAATTCTGCAACCAATCGGCCAGGGTGGGTTCACCGAGACGCCGAAGGGTTGCGAGGAACGTTTTCCACAGCCAACTGAAAAGAGGTAAGGTCGGAACGAAGCGAAGGATGTTAATGACCTCCAAAGCAAAATGCACGTATTTCTTAACAAACTTCCCTTTTCGCGAGACCAGCTGCTGGCATTTTGCTTGCATAATAGTGTGCGATTTTTCCTTGAAGTGAAAGAAATCGTCACACAGTCAGGAAAGCGGCCAGATATGGCGACGAGCTTCTTCGATGCTCGGGTGGAAATCTTTGTGCAACTGCAAACTCATCTGCTGCTGTTGTTGGGATGCCTCGCTGTCCAAAGGTCATAACAAGCGTCAAACAAGTTGACATAGTTCGCCTTTGTCTCAGCATAAAAAATTGCTTGCATGCCATGTGAAGTCCAAGCACTGCTCTGCGTGCGGCAGCCTGCGCCCATTTTTGGCAAATGGGTTCGGCGTAGCTCATCTTTCACCAGCAAGCTCAAAGTCGCAACGCCCATGCCACGGTCCAGCGCCTGCATATTGGTATCCACCGCCAACGTTATGTCGCTGCCAGTATAGCGACTCAGTGTGTCAAACATGCCTGGGCAAGCAAAGCTAATGCACACCTCAGCATCCGAGATGGGCGGTAAACGTCGTGAACCATGGATGCTTTGTTGGCTCCACTACCATCAGAAATCCATTGTGTTTGGACGCTAGTCACAGGATAATTCTGGATCTACCCACCCTCCCATCAGAAATCCATTGTGTTCTCATGCTAATCACAAGCTAATTCTGGAGGCTTTGTTGGCTCCACTACCATGTGTTAAACGTTTTGGTAAAACACATCCATTTGCTACGACTACGACGACTACTACTACTGCTACTATACTACTGCTACTATACTACTGCTACTACTACTACTACAACTACTACTACTACTACTACGACGGCTGCTACTAGTACTAGTACTACTACTTCTACTACTACTACTACTACTACTACCACTACGACTACTACTACTACTACTACTAAACAAAACAAAACACAACAACACAACACAACACAACCAAACACAACACAACACAACAAAACACACCACACCACAACCCAACCCAACCCAACACAAAGTTAATTCTGGATCTTCTACCCACCCTCCCATCAGAAATCCATTGTGTTCTGATGCTAATCACAAGCTAATTCTGGATGCTTTGTTGGCTCCACTACCATTTGTTAAACATTTTGGTGAAACACTTCCATTTGCTCAACATTTCTGGAATGTTCAACGTTTCTCATTTGTGCGACAAACTCTTACACAAAGGTATGTGTACAAAAACAAAACAAAACAAAACAAAACACAAACAAACAAACAAACAAACAAGCGCACAAGCGCGAGTTCGAGTTCGCTGCTGCTGCTTCTACTATTCTGACTGACCACTACTCACTCCAAGCCCAGGGGGTTTTTTGCGACAGTAATTTCAGAACTGTGGCAGAAAACTGCTTTCCAGCAGCACCGTCGCAGAAAACCCCCCTTGCAGGTAGCACCGTCGCAGAAAACCCCCTTAACTGTGCAACTTTTTAAAAAAACCCCTAAAACTGTCGCAAAAAACCCCCGTCCCCACCGCTGTGTTCCCATCTTGGAACACCGAATCCCAGACCCTTTTTCTCTGCTGCTTCGAGCGAGGTCAGCGCACGATCCGCACAACGGTCAGTTCTGTACGGGGCCTGGAAGAACGATGAGATTCATGTACGATGTTGTCATTCTGAAAAAACAAAAAAATTACTTTACTTCGAGTGATCCCCACCATGACATTTCAATCATTTGACTTGATGCCATAGCGAGGAGCATGTTGCCGTGGTCAAGAGTATTGTAATTCTCGATTTTGTTTGTGGGTCCTCGGGTTGTGTGCTGCGGTTGTGTGTTGTGGTTGTGGTTGTGTGCTGTGTTGTGGTTGTGGTTGTGCTTGGGGTTGTGTGTTTGTGGCTGTGTGTTTGTGATTGTGTGTTTGTGGATGTGTTTGCGGTTGTGCTTGTGGCTGTACGTTTGTGGTTGTGTCTTTGTGGTCGTGTCTTTGTGGTCGTGTTGTTGTGGTTGCGTGTTTGTGGTTGTGTTTGTGGTTGTGTGTTTGTGGATGTGTTTGTGGTTGTGTTTGTAGTTGTGTGTTTGTGGTTGTGTGTTTATTGTTGTGTCTTTGTGGTTGTGTGTTTGTTGTTATGTTTGTGGTTGTGTGTGTGGTTGTGTTTGTGGTTGTGTGCTGTGGT